TGTCTCCTCTCAGCCTTCTCTTGTTCAGGCTAAACATGCCCAGCTCCTTAAGCCACTCCTCATAGGGCTTGTTCTCCAGACCCCTGATCTGCTCCCTCCTCCCTGTGACTTCCTCTCACATATTTATCCATTGCCTTCATCATGTCTCCTCTCAGCCTTCTCCTCTTCAGGCTAAACATGCCCAGCTCCTTAAGCCGCTCCTCATATGGCTTGTTCTCCAGACCCTTGATCATCTTAGTTGCCCTCCTCTGGACACAGTATTCCAGCTTGTCAATATCTCTCTTGAATTGTGGTGCCCAGAATTGGACACAATATTCCACGTGTGATCTAACCAAAGCAGAATAGAACAGGACTTCCCTTGATCTAGGCATGAAAATATTTTTTCGAATTCTTGTATGCAAACTGAATTTGGCCATATTGTGATGGTGACGTGGACTTCGAAGATGTCAATGTGAACCTTTTGAGACAAGCTCAGTGAAGGTTGGTAACTCTAATCCCAATGGGAAGGTGAACCCGTTCTGGGCTTTTGTCCAAGATGTGGGACCCAGTCCTCCACAAATAGCTTCAGCCTTGTGTGCATTCAGCCCTCCGTATCCACGGATTCTGTATCCACATGTACTCGCAGCAGTGGCTTTGCCATTGTATCTAAGGGCCACCGTCTTGTTACACCATTGGGCATCCACAGATTTTAGACGGACGGAGAAATACCCCTTCTCCTGTTATCAGCAGAAAACGGCCCTCGTGCTGTGCCAATAACATGTCCGGGATGTGTAGTGCAACCTATGCAAGCCTATCTAGCAAACAGAAAGTACTAGCTGGTGTGTGCAAGAGGAGAAGAAGAGAGAAGCCAAGAATGTGAAAGGAACCTTGCTTGGTCAGTGTCCACCTTGTCCTAACCTGGCCAGTGCGCTAGATGTTATAGGACTACAAATCCCATCACACACCATTTGTAAGGCCAATCCCCATTTCCTCACAAGTGAATCTAATATGCAATGTTGGAATTGGGTTGCTGTGAGTTTTTCAGGCTGTATGGACATGTTCCGGTAGCATTCTCTCCTGACCTTTTGCCTGCATCTGTGGCAAGCATCCTCAGTGGAGTGTGTGTATGTCTGTCTGTCTGTCTGTCTGTCTGTCTGTCTGTCTGTCTGTCTGTATCTGTGGAATAATGTCCAGGGTGGGAGAAAGAACCCTTCTCTGTTTGAAGCAAGTGTGAATGTTGCAATGATTAGCATTGAGTAGCATTGTGTCAATAACGAACGCCACTTGGATACAGGGGAATTCCAGACAGCAAACAATCAAGTGCCAGTTAACACTTCCCAAACCAAGCCTTCCTCCGGGCAACAACAGCCAGGCTACCTCTATACAACTCCCCTCACTGATTGACTTTGCAGCTACAAGGCTAGATATATTCCAGAATATATGGCGGCCACAGATGCAGGTGAAATGTCAGGCGAGAATGCTACGGGAACAAGGCCATACAGCCCGAAAAACTCACAGCGACCCAATTCCAAACATTGCGTATTAGATTCACTTGTGTTCTTTCTCCCACCCTGCACATCCCACTTGACTCATTTCCAACAGACCGCTGAGGGTGCTTACCACAGATGCAGGTGAAATGTTAGGAGAGAATGCTACTGGAACATGGCCATACAGCCCGAAAAACTCACAGCAACCCAATTCCAAACATTGCATATTAGATTCACTTGTGAAGAAATGGAGCTTGGCCTTACAAATGGTGTATGATGGGATTTGTAGTCCTATAACATCTAGAGCACTGGCCAAACAATGAAGTGCCAGTTAACACTTCCCAAACAAAGAATTCCTCCGGGCAACAACAGCCAGGCTACCTCTATACAACTACCCCCACTGATTGATTTTGCAGCTACAAGGCTAGATATATTCCAGAATATATGGCGGCCACAGATGCAGGTGAAATGTCAGGAGAGAATGCTACTGGAACATGGCCATACAGTCTGAAAAACTCACAGAAACCCAGTGATTTTGGACATGAAAGCCTTTGATGACAAAACGTTTGGAATTTCCTCCCGAATTTAAGAAGCATGGACCAGGCTTCTTAAATGAGACTGCACTTAGACTGCAACTCCCATCATCCCCATTTCAGCTTGGCAGACCTGATGGGAGTTGTAGTACTTCCTCAAGGGCAGAGGTACCACAAAACACCTGCTCAGCTGGAATAGTGATTTCAGTAAAAGAATTCATGTTTGATATGCGAATGCTTTTAATTGTATTTAGATGTTGGGGGGCTTCGACTTGTGCCGAACGTAAACCACTTTGAGTTGTCTTTGGACTGAGAAAGGCGGTATAGAAATACGGCAAGTAAGTAAATAAATAAATAGGGGGAGCGATCACGGCAAAGGAAAAGCTACTTGTGGGGTGAAGGAAAGCGCAATGGGGCCGCTAGCCAACCGAGCGGCCTTACGAGTCCTATTTCCAAGCGCTGCCAGAGAAGGTTGCAAGCAAGGCCCTTGTTTCCTGCGGATGGGCTCATGGCTTGGCTGGGAGGGGGGCGGGGTGGCCGTGGCGGAGCGGTCCCGAGTGGCCTTCAGCAGGATGTCAAGAGATAAGCAGAGATTATTTGTTTGCAGACCAAGGAGACTGGGTTCCGGGAATCCAAGGGGCGGGGGCCGGGGGGGGGGGGTGACGCTGGAGGCCTTGCTCTTGACCTATGAGGCTGGCCGGGAAAAAGCCTTGGGGTCACCTCAGGAGATGGCCTTGCTCTACCCCAGGGGTCAGTGGTCACCTGGCAGTGGCACTCCTTCAAGGAGCCTTGTGCTGTCAACAGGAAAGGATCCCTGTTTGTCTATTGGGAGTTAGTGTGGGATTGCGACTCCCAGCGGTCTGGGGACGCGGCGACCCGAAGTCCAACCACAACTATATTTGTATGTCGCTTAACTCTCCAGGAAGGACAGTCTGTTGGGCTTCCGCTTTTCTACTATCGCCTGGGAGAACTACTTCTCCATCTCACCGCACATTCCAGGGCAATCATGGGCAAACTTTGTAACTTGGGGGCACATGCTAGCACGCCCTGCTAAGAGGACTGAAAGGAGGGAAGGAAGGAAGGAAGGAAGGAAGGAAGGAAGGAAGGAAGGAGGAAAGAAGGACAAAAGGGAGGAAGGGAAGGGTGGAAAGAGAAAGCACCGGGACGGTGGCGCAGAGAGTTAGCTGCATTAAGATCACTTCTGACCACAAGGTCATGAGTTCGAAGCCAGCCCAGGTCGGAGTGCGCTTCCGACCAATTGTGTAGCTTGTTGTCGACCTTTGCAACCTGAAAGACAGTTGCATCCATCAAGTAGGAAATTTAGGTACCACTTATATGTGGGGAGGCTAATTTAATTAATTTACAAGGCCATAAAAATGACTCCAGCAAAGCATGCGGGGAATGCGGAAGTACTTCATCAGCGTCGCGCATGGACAAGGAAAGCGACAACTCCCTTGGCGGCCAGAAAAAGTTAAATAGCCCCTGACTGTCTGTCTATATCTGTTGTGCGACAAGAAGGAAGGAAGGAATATTAGAAAGGAAGGAGGGAAGAAAGGAAGAGAAGGATGGAAGGAGGGAGGAAAGACAAAAGGGAAGGATGGAAGGAAGGGAAGGAAGGATAAAAGGAAAAATAGAATGAAGGATGGAAGAAAGAAATAGATGAAAAGAACGATGGAAGGAAGGAGGTAAAGGTAAGGATAAAGGAGAGAGAGAAGGAAGGAAAGACAAGAGGGAAGATGAAAGGTTAGAAGGGAAGGAGGGAAGAGAAGGATGGTAGGAAGAAGGAAAGACAAAAGGGAAGGATGGAAGGAAGGGAAGGAAGGATAAAAGGAAAAAGGGAACAAAGGATGGAAGAAAGAAATGGATGAAGAGAATGATGGAAGGAAAGACAAGAGTGAAGGAAGGAAGGTTAGAAGGGAAGGAGGGAAGGAAGGAAAGACTAAAGGGAGGAGGGAAAGAGGGGAGTTTGGAAGGAAGGATAAAGGAAAAAAGGAAGGAAGGAAGGAAGGGATGAAAGGAGGGATGGAAGGAAGGATAAAAGGAAAAGAGAAGGAAGGAAAGACAAGAGGGAAGGAAGGAAGGATGAAAGGGAAAGATGGAAGGATGGAAGGAAAAAGAGAGGGAATGGAGGGAGGTAAGGAGGAAGGAAAGAGAGAAGAAAAGACAAAAAGAAGGGAAAGAGGAAAGGATGAAAGGGTTGGAAGGGAAGGATGGAAAGAGGGAAGGGAAGGGAAGAGAAAGGAAGGATGAAAGAGAATGTAGGGAGGGAGAAAGAGGGAGGAAAGACGGAAGGAAGGAAAGACAAAAGGGAAGGAAGGCGAAAGAGGGAGAGAGGGAAGGAAGGAAGGACGAAAGGGTGGAAAGGAAGAAAAATGAGAGAGGGAAGGAGGCAGGAAACGGAAGGAAGGAAGGAAGGATAGGATGGTGAGAGAGAGAGAGGAGGGCCTGAGAGAAGAGCCCAAGGGGCCACATCTGGGGCCCGGGTCTGCCCACGCCTGTTCTAGGGCGTTCCACCTTCCCTTGTGACTCTCGTGCGAGACCTCATTCCTTCAACCCAATGGTTCTCAGTCTTTGGACTTCAAATCCCTGAAGCCTCAGCTAGCTTAGATAACGGTGAGGAATTCTGAGAGCGGAAATCCAAACACCTAGAAGAACCAAGCTGTTTTGGACTTCAACTCCCACAATTCCCAATAGCCTACCAGCTGTTAGGAATGGTGGGAGTTGAAGTCCAAAACACCTGGAGGGAGGGAGGGAGGGCCCAAGTTGGCCCATGCCTGCTATACATGAAGTCAATTTGCAAGTAAGTATAGATAGGATATCCTGCCTATCAAAACATAGATTAATATTTGCAGACTGGTACAGTAAAACCACATAATTTCCCATTCATGGCATTCACTTTTGACCATCCCCATCCTTTCCTCCAGCAAAAAGATTCATTATTATTATTATTATTATTATTATTATTATTATTATTATTATTATGAATCCTGAGTTTCCTTACCTCCTCTGGGATTTCTTCCACGATTGGCCTGCCAAACATAAAGCAACGGGTCAGTCTTTTCTCATTCCTGTTCATTATCCAGAAGGACAGATAACACAACATGCAACACATCTTTTGTTCCTGGGTCGTAAATGTCATGTCTTAATTGGTTCTGTCATTAAAACATGAGTAAAGTTTATTAAACGGCCAAAACTTTGCGGGACATCCTGTAGCACATTTTGCAATCGCTTTCCCATCAATAATCAATGCATATGTTACGCATGAAAGATTAACAATATGCTTTCAAGTCACCCCTGAACACGTGGAGATTCCCTATAGGATTACTTTAAGTTAGATATTCAGAGGTGGTTCTGCCATAGTTCCTGCCTCTATCCTATGGCCCATATCGCCTGGGATTTGTTGGCTGCCTCCCATCCAAGGATCAACCAGAGCTGACCCTGCTTAGCTTCCAAGATCAGACAGGATCTGAAATAGCTGTACTGATCTGCCCTGACAAAAGTTGGGTACGTTGGACTGTGCAGTAGTCCTGTTGTCTCTATTTCATTTCCCTCACAGGGACGTAGTCTTTGGGAAGAAGGAACTGCAGGCAGCCTGCCTTTTATTTATTCAGCTACAACATTTTAGCTACAACATTTCTATGCCGCCCTTCTCACCCATCCGAAGGGGACTCGGAGCGGCTTACAAGTAAAAAGTAAATACAATATATTATATGATTACCGTAGCACAATATTAATATTATATATTACATTGCACTATAACAGTGGTTCTCAACCTGGGGGTCGGAACCCCTGGAGGGGTCGCGAGGGGTTTTTAAAGGGGTTGCCAAAGACCGTTAGAAAACACAACATTTTCTGTTGATCATGGGGGTTCTGTGTGGAAAGTTTCACCCAATTCTATCATTGGTGCGGTTCATAATTCTCTTGATTGTAGGTGAACTATAAATCCCAGTAATGCCAAGGTCTATTTTCCCCAAACTCCATCTGTGTTCATATTTGGGCATATGGAATATTCGTGCCAATTTGGTCCAGATCCATCATTGTTTAAGTCCACAGTGATCTCTGGATGTTGGTAAACTACAACTCCAAAGCTCAAGGTCAATGTCCACCAAACCCTTCCAGTATTTTCTGTTGGCCATGGGAGTCCTGTGTGCCAAGTTTGCTTCAATTCCATCGTTGGTGGAGTAAAGCATGCTCTTTGATTGTAGGTGAACTATAAATCCCAGCAACTACAACTCCCAAATGACAAAATTAATCCCCCCAACCCCACCAGTATTCAAATTTGGTCCAGTGATGAAAATACATCCTGCATATCCGATATTTACATAATAACAGTGGCAAAGTTGCAGATATGATGTAGCAATAACAATATTTTTTTGCTTGGGGGTCAGCACAACATGAGGGTCGTGACATTAAGAAGGTTGAGAACCACTGTAGTTACTATAACATTATACTGTAATGTTATTAGTAATATTACATTTAATATAAAATATATAATTCTAATATCATATTATTAGTAGTAGTATTATATTGTGTTACATTACAATATTATCAATATTACATGTATATACAATATATTATATTATATTATATTATATTATATTATATTATGTTATGTTATGTTATGTTATATTATGTTATATTATATTATAAGCCGCCTTGAGTGCCCTTCAGGGTAGAGAAAGGCGAGTTGTAAATAAGGCAAATAAATAAACTGTGTCCTATCCAGTCCCACATGACCAGCCACCCCCCATGTGCATAGAAATGTTGTAAATAAATAAATAAATAAATAATATAAGGCAATTCTTCAATGCCTTAAAACACATACAATTCCAATAATATTAAAATTAAATGGAATACATTTTAAACATTTAGAAAGATTCCATTCCATGGGTTGTTGTAGGTATTTCCGGGCTATATGGCCATGGTCTAGAGGCATTCTCTCCTGACGTTTCGCCTGCATCTATGGCAAGCATCCTCAGAGGGAGTGAGGTCTGTTGGAAGTCGGAAAAATGGGTTTATATATCTGTGGCATGACCAGGGTGGGACAAAGGACTCTTGTCTGCTGGAGCTAGGGGGTGAATGTTTCAACTGACCACCTTGATTAGCATATAATGGCCTGACTGTGCCTGGAGCAAACTTTTGTTGAGAGGTGATTAGATGTCCTTGTAATGGAATGACCAGGGTGGGACAAAGGACTCTTGCCTGCTGGAGCTAGGTGTGAATGTTTCAATGACCACCTTGATTAGCATATAATGGCCTGACAGTGCCTGGAGCAAACTTTTGTTGAGAGGTGATTAGATGTCCTTATAATGGATATATAATGGCACGGTCAGGCCATTATATGCTAATCAAGGTGGTCAGTTGAAACATTCCCACCTAGCTCCAGCAGACAAGAGTCGTTTGTCCCACCCTGGTCTTTCCACAGATATATAAACCCAACCATTCCTAGTTTCCAAACCTCACAACCTCTGAGGATGCTTGCCATAGATGCAGGCAAAACGTCAGGAGAGAATGCCTCTAGACAGTGGCCATATAGCCGGAAAAAACCTACAACAACCCAGTGATTCCGGCCATGAAAGCCTTCGACAATACATTCCGTTCCATATTAAAACCACGCCATCCGAAATGTTTCCACTCTACCTGTCATAATCCTTTTCCGGCAGGATCGCAGAAAAAGCCTCGTGGGGCGGCAACTCGCCTTGTGGGAGCTGCGAGAAGCAAAGCGAGGGGTTACGGTCAGAGTCGGACAGGTGTAGACAAGCCTTTGTCACCCTCATGGCCATCCTTCCCCTCTCAGGTAGGGTTGGGGCGACTGTTAGGCAAAGTCGAGCCACGTTTTCAGATTATTGTGCTAAACATTCCCCTGTTCTGCCATTCTGAGACCGCAGGTGGCTTGCGATCCAGATCAAAACAAAATCATCCACTCTCCATCTTTTTTACATATTTGATGAATACATTCCCCCCAGGAATTAAGGCCACTTGAACTTCTACAGCTCAATGTTATATAATTATGGGAACCACAACTATGGAGCAGAAGATTGGCAGTTCAGAGACCCGCATCAGGGTGAGCTCCTGGCCTTCAGCCCAGCTCCTGCCAACCTAGCAGATTGAAAACAGCAATTATGAGTAGTTGTAGGCTTTTTGGGCTATATAGCCATGTTCTAGAAGTTTTCTCTCCTGACATTTTGCCTGCATCTATGGGGCATCTATGGCAAGCATCCACCTCTGAGGATGCATGCCATAGATGCATGTGAAACGTCAGAAGAAAATGCTTCTAGAACATGGCCATATAGCCCCAAAAACCTACAACAACCCAGTGATTCCAGCTATGGAAGCCTTTGACAATACAATTCTGAGTAGATAAATAGGTACCACTTTAAAAGCAGGGAGGTATTTGGACACCCAGAAGGAAATAATAATAATAATAACAATAATAATACTTTATTTGTACCCCGCTACCATCTCCCCAAGGGACTCGGTGTGGCTTACATGAAATGCCAGAAAAAGGCCAGCGATTCGATCAACGAGGGAGCTGATGAACAAAAAAGCTCTTCAACATGGAAGTTGGAGTGACAGCCGCACCCCCTCCCACACCCCATGGCCGGGACTGAGCACGGCCTCCAAGATGCCGAAGATGGGGAAGATGACCTAGCTATACCTCTATCTATGTTGTCATTGTATAACGGCATTGAATGGGTGCAGGATACGTGATTTGCTCTGAGTTCCCTTCGGGGTGAGAAGGGCGGGATATAAATACTGAAAGTAAAATACTAAGTACTTTCGTCTTTCGAACCCAAGGGTTCGCTGCCTCACCAAACTACAACTCCAACGATTCCATTGCCTTGAACCATAGTTGTTAAAGTGGGATCAAAATGTATGGCTGCATTTCATAGAATCCTAGAATCCTCGAGTGGGAAGAGACCTCCTGGGCCATCATCCAGTCCAATTCCATTCTGCCAAGAAGCGGGAATATTGCATTCAAAGCACCCCTGACAGATGGCCATCCAGCCTCTGCCTAAAAGCTTCCAAAGAAGGAGCCTCCACCACGCTCCAGGGCAGAGAGTTCCACTGCTGAACGGCTCTCACAGTCAGGAAGTTCTTCCTCATGTTCAGATGGAATCTCCTTTCCTGTTGTTTCACTTCACTTCACATTCAACAGTGACTATTTGGCAAGTTAGATCTGATGACTTAAATGCACAACCAAGCAGCCAAGTCTTGAGTGCCTTTACAAAAGGTCGCAACTCCGACATTGCTCTAATGTATGGAGGCCATGAGTTCCACAGAATTGGATCATAGGTCGAGAAAGCTCTATGATGCCTTGTAGCTTCCAGGTATCCCTCCCTCCCTCCCTAGGGCCCGGTATGTAAAGGAGATTTTCCTGGGTGGATCGAGGTGACCACGGATGGAGAAAAGGAATGAGGCGGTCCCTAAGATAGAAAGGTCCTTGGCCATGTTGAGCTCTCAATGTCAAGATCAGTCGCTTGTTAGAGATCCGTGTTCTCTTGGTAGCCAATGCAGTTGTTGCAGAATCGGTGTCATATGGGATCTTAGAGATGATCCTGCTAGCAGCCTGGCCGCCGCATTTTGGACCATCCGAATCTTCTGGGAAGGCCAGCATAGAAGGTGTTGCAATAGTCCAACCTCATGGTGACTGTTGCGTGGATGACCATTGCCGATGCTTCTACCGAAAGGTTGGATGCCAATTTCCTTGCCTGGCGAAGATGGAAAAAGGCCTGCTTCCTTCTGGCCGTGATCTGGGCCTCCATCATCAGCGATGAGTCCAACACAACCCCTTTAAGGCTTTGAACAGTGGCAGGCGGAACCAGAGCTTCCCCATCGAAATCAGGCAGAGACGGGGTTAATTCTGGCGGCTGGCCGGGCCAGAGGATCTCCGTTTTAGCAGGATTCCCTTTGAGTCTGCTTGCTCGCAGCCAACTCATCACTGCTTCCAAACACAGCCTAAAGTTCTCAGGAATTGCGGTGGTTGTCCCAGGTTTGAGACGCAAGTGTAGCTGGGTATCATCTGCATACGGGTAGCACTCTCAGCCAAAGCTCCGCACCAGTCCAGCAAGTGGCCGGACGGAGATGTGAAATAACAGGGGCGAGAGGATGGCACCCTGGGGGACTCACTCCACAGCAAAGGCAGGAGCTCTCAGGGCTTTGGCCTGACCACTCCACCCTCTGCCTCCGGTCCCGGAGGAACGCATTGAACCATTTCAGGGCCAAACCTCCTCGTACACCAGACAGAGCCAATCGATGAATCCGCAAGTCATGGTCCACGGTGTCGAATGCAGTGGTGAGGTCCAAGAGTACCAATAGTGCTGATCCGCCTCGGTCTAACTGATGACGAATTTCGTCAGTAATAGCTACCAAGACAGTCTCTGTCCCACGACCTGAACGGAAGCCTGATTGGAAGGGGTCCAAACTTGCAGTCTCATCTTCGTTTGAAGCCATTGTTCCATTTTAAAGGCATTTCCCCCTTAGAGAACCATCTCCAAAATTGGTTGTGTTGAAGGCCCCTTCTATACTGCCATATAACCCAGATTATCAAAGTTATCTGCTTTGAATTGGGTTAGATGAGTCTGCACTGCCATATATTCCAGTTCAAAGCAGATAATCTGGATTTTATATGGCAGTGTAAAAGGGGCCTTACTGAAATGAGGGTGCATCTTACAATTGATGGCATCTCACAAGGGAAGAAATGGGATTCACAATGTGGATTCACGTGTGGACTACCACCACCCACCACTATTTCAACCCCCTTTTCTTCCCTGGTGCTCAGCTACTCACAGTAGAGGAAAATGGCCGATAGTACAACGTCATTTCCAACTTCTGAATGGGCAAAAATGCCTGAAACCACTCCGGAAGGAGTCAGGAACAATTCCTCGAGCGAAGCGACCAGGAAGATTGGCCTCATCCCTCCCCAGAGATCGGAAACAAACTTCTGCGCTGGTTGCCAAGTGCCTGTCAGTGGCAAATGGCAACTCTGGAACCACAAAGCAAACAAGGTGTGCCGTGCAGGCATTCATCCCTCCACACCTGTCGGCCTACCTGGAAGATTACAAGAGAAATACAGTCCAGCCTAAACTTACAGGTGTGGTCCCCAGCATGGAGAGGAGAGGAGAGGAGATCTTCTCCTGGTGAGACCCAGCCAGGTGTAGGCACCAGGTTCCCGGTCCTGCCTTGGCTCCCCGGGGCATCGATGGTGACTGAGCTGTTGCTACAACACAGCTGCTCCTGGCAACCAGTTGCCCCTACTTCCCTTGCCAAGGGCTGTGTGCAACTCTAGTGATGCTGTTGGATTTTTAGGAGGAACGTGGTGCATTTCAGAATCCCATCACGTGGACAAGAGAATCTTGAGTGGGATTGGGGCAACCGGACCCATTGCATGCCAGGCAGGGGCTCAATGGGCCCTCGTTTCTGAGGAAGGGGCATTTTGAGTAAACGTTGACTTGTTTTGTGTCCCGGCTTTTGGTGGAGCCCCGATCCGTTTTTTGGAAGCCTCCCAAAATCAGGAGGGCAGATATCTGTTTTCAATTTGGGGGTGGCCTCAAAAGGTCCGTTTTCTATTGGACCGTTATGGGGGAGGGCTTCCCACCCAGGTTCCCATGCCTGGCATGCATTTAAAAGAAGTTTCTTACCTGCTGTTTCTACCGTAGATGTGGTTTTAAGCTGCAGGCGCATGTGCTTTCTGGGCCTGCACACCATGCCACATACACACTCTCTTTCCAAGGAGAGTGCGTGTGTGGCATGGCGTGCAGGCTTAGAAAGCGCATGCGCCTGCAGCCAAACATCTCTTACTTTAGAGTAGGATGCGCTTGGCTGCAGACACACACACTTTCCAGACCTGCACTCCATGTTGCACACACTCTCTCCTTGGAAAGAGAGTGCATGTGTGGCGTGCAGGCCCAGAAAGCACATGCGCCTGCCACTACCTTCAACCAAGTGTGGCATGCAGGCCTGGAAAGTGTGCACGCCTGCACCAAACATCTTTTGCTCAAGAGCAGGAGATGCTTGGCTGCTGGCAAGCACACTGTCTAGTGTAAGAGGAACTTGACTGCAAGCACTGGCAGGTGCACTTGCTTTTTGGGCCTACACACCATGTCACACATGCACTCTCTTTCCAAGGGAGTGCATGTGTGGCATGGCATGCAGGCTCAGAAAACACAAGCTCCTGTTCAGCTGCAGACACACACATTTTCCAGACCTGCACTCCACGTCACACATACTCTCTCCTTGGAAAGAGAGTGCATATGTGGCGTGCAGGCCCAGAAAGTGCATGCACCTGCCACTACCTTCAACCAAGTGTGGCCTGCAGGCCTGGAAAGTGTTCACGCCTGCACCAAACGTCTTTTGCTCAAGAGTAGGAGATGCTTGGCTGCGGGCAAGCACACTCTCTAGGCCTGCACACTACACACACTCTCTCCTTGGAAAGAGAGTGCGTGTGTGGCGTGCAGGCCCATAAAGCGCACTTGCTTCCCAGTACATGGAGCCAAGCGCCTCTTACTCTAGTGTAAGAGACACTTGGCTGCAAGCACTGGCAGGCGCCCTTGCTTTTTAGGCCTGCACACCATGCCACACACACACTCTCTTTCCCAGGAGAGTGCGTGTGTGGTATGGCGTGCAGGCTCAGAAAGGACAAGCTCCTGTAGTCAAACATCTCTTACTAGAGAGTAGGAGGCATTTGGCTGCAGACACGCATACTTTC